GTAATAGAAAAGAACAAATCTGACTCCGTATTAGATCTGTTCCTTTGGTTTTATACCCTGTGCCCTGTTTTCTAGGCTTAGTCATGCTGGCTCTGCACCTTTTGTACAAGAATGTTGCCTTTAGCCTGAAATATACAGGAGAGCCATTCTCAAGGCTCTGACCTTTAAGGATATTAACACTTTTGCAATTATATAAAGATAACAAGTTGCAGAATAGAAAGTAACGTTTGCTTTGTAAGAGGTTTTACAGGGATGCCATGACCTGACCCACGTGGACAGCTACAGGAACAAAGAATTCCTACTGCAGGAAGTTTGCAACAACCAACCACACCCCCTCCCCTTTTTGTAGTATAAAATAAGCCTTAATTCTGACTTGGGCAGCATGGTTCTCCAAGACATTAATCTGCCATCCTCTCAGTCTACTGGATTTTCCGTTTTTCCTTGCCCCAACACCTCATCTCCTGATATATTGGCCTGTCGTGGGGCGAGCAGAACAGTCGATAACAGAAGGAAACTGCGCAGCAGGCAGGATCGGGATCGGCTGGTGCACGCTGGGAGGGCGGCGCCAGTGGTTCCAATACTGAATACCCCCACACCAGTTTGTAAAGAGCTGCCACTTGAAACCTCCTGAGTGTCCCCACTTTCAATCCAGAACTTCCCAGACCTCTCCATTTCCCCGTGCCTAAACGGCTAATGTCTGACCCAGTAAGGGTCAGCAGACCATGACTTCTGGTTGGTGAGACAGGCCCACGGGTGTCACAGCAGCTGTTGCTTACCGTGAACGCGCCCCGTGGAGCTACTCAGAAGTGACTTGAACAATGTTACACGGCTAAAAGTCACTGAACCTCCATGCGTGTGATTCAAGGTTTTTTTCTCTTTCCACTTCACCCCCTGCCTGGCGGGAGTACACATCTCCCTGCTTTTATATCTTCCCTTCTCCCCACCCAGGAGCTGTGGGCTGGACTGGGGTGGCCCACCCACTGCTAAAAAGGGCATCGCTGCCTAATTTTCAGAATTCATTTATGCAAATGAGTGGAACTGCCTCCATGTTAAGCTCTCCTTCAACTGCTAGTGCCTGCCGCTGCTGCTCGGTCACGGACATGAAAGCTTGCTGAAGACGAAGCAAACAAGCACTGTGTGTCTGTTAGTCCCAAACTCTGAATTTATCCCTCCCCCGCCCTTTCCCATGTGGTAACCAAAGTTTGCTTTCTATGTCCATGAGTCTGTTTCTGGTCTGTAAATAGAATTTGTATCATTTTTTTTCAGATTCCACAGTACTATATATAAAACAGATAAACAACAAAGACCTACTGTATAGCACAAAGAATTATATTCAATACCTTGTAATAACCTGCAATGGAAAAGAATCTGAAAAGAAAAGATATATATGTAGTATGTGTATAACTGAATTGCTTTGCTGTACACCTGAAACTCACATTGTAAATTAACTACATTTCAATTAAAAAACATTAAAAAAAAACCCACAATCAGGAGCAAACATGAAAGAGGGGACTCGGGAGCCACTTGGAAGGCTTTGTTGGACAGTGTGTATTGGCGTGGGGTTGGGGTGGGGGACATAGGGCAGATACAATTGGTGTTAGATCCCTGCGAGGAGAATTGCTCAGGGTCTGCCCAAAGGTGTGACTCCTGGAATTGGTGATGCTCAGCACATGGATGGGTCTGCCTTTATCACCTTTCAGGAAGCCACAAGTCACCACAGAAATGAGGCGTCTTTGTATGCAACTGCAAATATTGACAACAACAGGGCAAAATTGCCATTTGGCGAATATCAGGTACAAAGCGCAGAGTTCATGCAGTCCTGCAAAACTGGCTCCAAAATACCAATAGCTCTGGCGGGAGATTCAGGGTTAGAGGTCTGGGCTGGTTGAACAGCCCCCTCACCACTCTGAGCCTCTGCCCCTCATCTGGAAATAGGGTTTCATGACAAGACATTCCCAGGAACATACAGATTACGTAAGAATGCAATAAAGAGATGCATGCGGGCATCAGGACTGCAGGTCCTGCAGTGCCCTGAATTCCCTGGCAGCATCCCCCTTGCTTGTCACCCTTATCCTCTGTCTCCCCATCACACTGTGAACCTCTCGTGATTGCAAGTCTGTGTCTTTTCACCCGGGAAATCCTACATGTATGTAAAGCATGACTCAAAAAATATTTATTACGAGATTTGCCACGGAGAGATGACACTCTTAAGGGTGGGACCCCACATAACATCACTGTATCTCGGGTTAAAAACTCTTTTTGGGACACTGATGATGATACTGTGAACTAAGTAGAAATAAGCTTGATCTTCTGTACTGGAAATTCCATGTAAAGGGGGAAAATGTCCCCTGCACATCTTCCTGACATCTCACAGACTCATTTCAATTCAATTAAACTTCTTATC